CTCTCCTCTCCTCTCCTCTCCTCTCCTCTCCTCTCCTCTCCATTCTTTTTTGTTTTCCTTCTGCCAGTGTTTTGTTAAAGCTAGCAGATCTGCAAACAGATGTTTGTTTAGATCCTGACAAGCAATTATCAACCATCAAACAAATGTTTTCTTTCCTCAAAGCAGGATATTCATTTTCCTTTCCTTTCCTTTTATAAGAGTCTGTAAAAAGCCTACATTAGCAGAGTTAATTTAAGACTGTTATTAAAAAGCAAGTGCTATCATTCTCATAGTCCTCCTTGGGGCCAGATCCCAATTTCTGGTTGAAACAGATTGATGAGAATAATTTCACTGATTTCAGAGAGGCTAAATCTGAGATAGGATATTCAGTCTTCACAAGAACATCCTCCTCTGGCCACAGTGGCTCCACTCTACCTGTGAACACTATCCTTGTAGAAAGATTATATAGACCCAATTGCTTTATCAAACACTTTCAGCACCCTTGGAAAACTATGAAAAATTGTTCAGAATTTTTTGTTACAAGATTCTTTTTTCCCCAAGAGAAATTGGCTGTATTGCAATACATTTTTTTTCCCCTAAGTAAATAGATATAGTTTATATCTTCTGGCAGCAATAAGAAGGCAAAAATAAAACAAGCCCTCACAAATCTTGGCTAGATTAATCTTCTAGGGTTTGATCCCTTGGCAAAACTCTGTGGTTTGGCTTTCTCTCTTCTCTTAGTATTGTGTGTGTGTGCCTCATTTTCTTTGATTTCATAGCACTATTTATGTTTATCTGCTAGCTTTTTTCTCAGTTGCCAGTTCCTTTTCCCTTTCTAGATTCTTCAACTACTTGACAATTAAATGCCCTCCTTTTCTGCTTTTTTTAAACTTCATTTCCTCAGCGTCTGTTCCTCAGAATGGGACACTGTACAAGCCACCTCTTCTGCTTTGTCTTTCCTTTTTATTTCTTCCCTAATTTCCTTTATTTCTCTGTCAGTCACTTCTTCTTTCTTACTCTGCATTCAGAAGGATTCAGTTCTCTGAAATTCTCTCTTCTTTTTTTTCCTCCTAGCCTTTTTACCTTGTGCTGTTAAGAATTTGTTGATACAATTTCTGCTGTTTACGTTAGTATTTCCATAACAAATTGCAAAATTGGGCATTTTGGAAAATAAGTTGAAATTAAAATTGTTCTCTTATCTTTCTAGCAGGTTATACCTGGTAGTACAGGTTACATCTTGCTACCAGGTTATCCCTGGTAGGTTACATCAGGTAATACCTCCTCAATTTAAAAGAAAGAAAAAAAGAAAAAAAAAAAAAAAAAAAAACACAACTGGAAATTGCAACAATATATCTTGTTTTTTCAGCAAAATGAAAGGTGTATTTTCAGTCAAAAGTTTTTGTCATTGAAAAGAGGTATTCTGAAGCAAACCAGAGAATTTTCTGTTTTGATAAGGTCTGACAGAACTTCTTATTTTTAAATCCAAGAACTCTACGGAAGTAGCATTCCTGATCTTATCACTGTCTCCTGAATTCAACCACTGACTTCCCATTGACTGAAGCAATGTTAGACCCATGATGTAGGACCTGGAAAGTAACTTTCAATATGGGGGCTTAAAAGCCTCTCATGAGCTGCAGGAACTTACAGCTGCAAGAATACTGTGCTGCTGAGGCTGCCTGGGGAAGTTCAGAGCTGCCTGTGCAGTCGATTGGAACAGATAGTCAGGATGCCAATCTTATCAACCTTTCCAGTTTGAGTTGTTCCTGCCTGTCATTGGTTGGCTCCTGGAAGAGAGTGCTCAGTCTGTAACGATTGTGTCTGTGCAAGGAGGTACAAGTTATTTATCTCCGAGTTGTTTTTGCAGAATCAAATCTGGATTTTTAAGACTATTTTATTTTATTTTCTCCAAAGTTCATTATATATTTTATCCTGTTTGGTAGACATTGTTCTAAACAATGTTTAATGAAAAAAAGTAGATTTAGCAGAGTCCAACAGAGATTGTGAAACATATTTATTTAAAGTACTGAAAATTAAAAGGAGCATCTTAACTTAAACTCTGATTTGGTCTCCTGCCAATTCAAGCAAAGATGAATGAGGGGTATTAAAAATGAACACGGTTCTTATTTTTGTTGGTTACATGGCCACCTTTCTCACTACATACATCAGTTAGCAAAGTCTGCTTTCAGCAGTGGAAATTTCATTATCACTTCTAATTCTGGTTTTGTAACACATTAAAGTTTCCAACAGTTAATGACTCTGGTTTCTTTCCCCACAGGTCTACCTTTCGTGAAAGAACACGGAAGAGGAAAGAAATGACAGTAAGACTGAATTATGAACTCTTAGAAGTCGAGAACAAGAACTGATTGTATTGTGAAAGCTGAATTCACTACTCGCGATTAACGCCGGCAATAGCAGTTGGCGGTGATCGCATGCACGAGATTGCTGAAGCAGATGGAGCACATGTATTACTCACACAGGTTAGGAAAGAAAACATTTATTCCAGTTTGCACTGCAATGTTTAAAGAGCACCACAAACACAACTTTAAAAGCCTGAATTGCTTGGAAATTGACACCAGTGGTTCACTGCCTTCTCTGCAGCTCCCCTCAAACTCGAGACAGAGACTGTCTTATTATAGAAGTAGGTTTTCTTCTCCTCAGATCTGGGCACTTCTGGCCCTGAGATGAGTTGTGTCCCTGTCATTGCCATCCTACTAAAACAAAGACACCTCAGTTACTTCTTGGTTATCTACTTGAGTCAACTATCACCTCTCCCAGTGTCATCCTGCTGCAATCAAGTCTCCCAGAGGTGTTACAGCTCTTAATTACATTGTCTTCAGAGTGCTCAGAGGTTCACTGACAGAAGTGATTTCAGCATACAAAGCACGGCAGCAACATAAACTTATCTAGATAGTAGAGGTCAGTCCTGTCTGTCTATGTTAACCTAACAGCCTGTGCTTTTCCTCCTTCCTTCACCATTTGCCAAAACAGATACGATTTGTTTTTTCTTTGATCCCATGGAGTTGACAGTGACAGATTACTTTCAGTTTCTCATCCTGAGCCTTCCCACTTTCCTGGTGATTTGACCCGTGACATTAGGAAGATCTGTAATCACAGGCAGCTGCCTCTCTGAATAATGTGTAGATACTGCAGGATTGGTGGGATAGGACCACACAAGTCACTGTCTTCCCGTAGAGCAGCTGGGTCCTGCAGATCAGAGGTGGAAAATATCCTTGTGAAACTCAAGGGTTTTACAAAGGTTAAATTTGTAGGCTCACTTCTCTAAAATGTCTGTTTTTTTTTTTTTTTTTTAAACAAAGTCAAGATTTCAGGGTATTTTGAATGTACATATTAGAGACTCTGATAGCAGGGACCCTATTAAACATGAACACTGATTTTGCAATATTTTAATATCCAACTGTGCTACAGGAATAGAATTTTTTTTTATTATTATTATTTTTTTAATTTTTTTAAAATTATTTTATTATTATTATTATTATTATTTTAATTCAGTCTTCAACAAATGGAAAGCCTGTTGAGAGTGGGTTTTGATTTGTGGAGCTAGGACTACACCCTTCTGGGATCCAGCAGTTTGGTACCAAACACATGACCAACTCCAAAAGCAATAACAGGCTCAACAATACTCCAAAAACAGTACTCAATAGTGTAAAACCAAATGATATCTCATAAAATCATATGAAATGGATCTTTAAAGCAAACAGTTAATAGAAGATTCATCAGAGGTGTCTGTGACTTTTAAAGTACAGAGCATAGCTCCAGATACAGAGCAATTCATGCTGAGAAGGACCTCAGGAGGTCTCTTCTCTGACCTCCACAAAGCAGTGCAAGCTTGGAGAGAAGACGGGGAGGATCAGGGATTTTCCAAACCCATCTCAAAGAACATCTCATCCTGGAGAATGCACAGCCTCCTTGGACAGCTTTCTCTACCGCTTGGAGTCCTCATGGGGGGAAAATTTCTCCTTGTAGCTTCAGCAAGCATATCTTGTCCTCACACCATGTCCCATTGCAAAGGGCATTTCTCCATTTCCCTTGTTAGTTACCTGAATGGTCAGCTTTATTCAGTCTTACCTGTAAGTTGATGGGAGAGCGCTCCAGCAGCTCCTCCAGGTCACAGATAAAGATGATAAAGAGGTCGATTCTCACAAACGGGCAGTCACCACTGATACTAGTCTTCTATGTCAGTACCATTTGTTTGGAGAGTAAAAGCAAACTCCAAGAGATAGGAGAGTATGGCAGATGAGAGAGCTCATGGACTAAATCTTGTTATGTATGAGGCATGGTGCTATTCTGTACTGTATTAGAGAAAGCTCATCCACAAGGATTCACTATCTAAATCAGTGAATCTCTAACCTTTACAGCTGTCAAAACCTGTTCATTTCTATAAGACCCTGCTCAGAGTCTAACTAGTCTGATTAAAAGCAAAGTGGTTGGATTATATAGTTATAAGCTGTTTCATGTAAGAAATAATAAATGATTAATGGCATCACATTTTTAAGAGTTCTCCAAACTCTTTTGGCAAATGGCTGACCACAGAGATTAGGATTTTTACAACTGAATCATCAAACCTATTGTAAAGTCTCCTTTAACAATATTACTACTATGTCTCCATGGGCATAAAACAGTTGTCACTAGAATTGATTTCTGGAAGAGACTTCTCAAGGAACACTCAGATACTTTTAGTACAAAACTCCTGCACTGTAGCTCTCTGATTCTCAAGTTTAAAGGTTTCCAGGGCAAGACACAGTACATGGTATTTAATTTAATTTTCATTCAATTGTGTTTCCACAAACCAAGATGTTTGCATAGCCTTCACAGAGACAGTAGTCAGTTTATGTAGTACTTCGGTTGTCTCAGCAAGGGTAATTTCTTGTTTTTCTTGGTTGAAATTTGTGAATCAGCTAACGGCTGGGGGTGCTAAATAAATCATAAGACAGTGTCAGCAAGTTCTAGGTTAACACTTTGCTGATGCAAACTAACCTATTCTGTTATCCAAAACTTTTGCAGGTAAACCAGCCACAGAAATCTTGCAATGCACAGGAAATAGTCTACATTTAGGGACTATCTGAAGGTTCTAATAAGCAGCAAAAACTTACTCTTTACTTGAGGAAATTTCCCTGCGTTACACAATACACAAAATAACCTATATTTTGACTGGAGTGCAATAGGCATACATGCTTGGAATTTTCTGTTCAAAGTTCTGTATATTGTTATATCTATTTTGGAAGAAGACTTTGGAAGCTTTCCTATGAAACTCTCAAAGGTCACTCTAAAAGGAAGGTGTTCATATGTGCCCATAGGAATAGCACCATCTGTGTCATTCTGCAACTATATAACACCAATTTTATTCTATCTTCTACATTATATTCCCCTGAGATTTCTTTATGCAACAGAAGATCACAAAATTGCTGCACCCAGGTAAGTGCAGCATCTGTGTAGAAAGAAACCCAACTGAATGCCCAATTACAAGGTCTGTTTTAACTATAACATATGTATGTTCTTGAGATTATGGAATTAGTAGTGTAGAAACTTGTACACACACTGCTCCGTGTAGCAAGAATTTTCCTGGACTCCAAAACTGAACATGCATGGTGCTCTGTCCAATTCATGGGAGAGGAGATAATACAAGATGTCTGAGATGAGATATTTCAGGCTAGTGTAAAACCTCTTGAGCTCTTTCTGATTGTATTGCACGCCAAACCCTTATCAAGGACTCTTCTTTTTCCTGCAGTCAAAACTGAGAGAAAAATTGTCAGCTTGTCCACCTCTGTAGAGACTGTTGTGTAGGTATAAGATCTTGGCATGTCGGCATGCCTGGCTGTCTTTCAGTGCACATGTTAAATGCAGCGAGTCCCATGCTACCTGGAAGTGCTGCAGACACTGCATGTGTTTCTGTTTAAAAGTGTCTAATCCATGGCTACATTCACAGCACAGCTACAGCATTTGTTTGCAATTTCTGAATATCTGTGTCCAGTAATCCTGCTTGAGCTATTGGTACGGACCTGTTCCTATTGATCTGCCAGACATCTAGAAATCCCAGCATCCAGAACTTCTTGAAAAACAGACATATTTCTCAGCATTTAGAGAATGAAATCAGATATAAGGAAACTTGGACGGTATAATACAGCAACCACTGGTTCACTCTTACTGCAGTTGGCAGACATCACATCTACACATCCTCCTTTTATGCAGGTTGACACACTTCTGAGTAAACTCAGTAACTTACACCAAATGAAATTAACTATTTTCAAAATATACCCTCAATATTTGTTTTTTAAAGTCTTGTTAGGAAGTAAGAATGTAGATGGACTTAAAAAAGGAATAACAGCAAAAACAAGAATCATAGAATCATAGAATCACTTAGGTTGGAAAAGACCTTAAAGGTCATCGAGTCCAACCATGACCTAACCATACTACCCTAACTCTAACAACCCTATGCTAAATCATATCCCTGAGCACCACGTCCAAATGGTTTTTAAACATATCCGGGAATGGTGACTCAACCACCTCCTTGGGGAGCCTATTCCAGTGCTTAACCACCCTTTCTGTAAAGAAGAGTTTGCTGATATGCATTCTAAACTTACTCTGGTACAACTGGAGGCCATTTCCCCCTGTCCTGTCACCAGTCACTGGTGGAAAGAGACCAACCCTGCTCTCACTGCAATCACTTTTCAGATATTGGGAAGAGAGCAATAAGGTCTCCCCTCAGCCTCCTTTTCCTCAGATTAAACAGCCCTAGTTCCTTCAGGGCATATTCTCCGAGCCCTTCACAAGCCTTGTTGCTCTTCTTTGGACCTGCTCCAGCATCTCAATGTCCTTTCTGTACTGAGGTGCCCAAAACTGAACACAGTACTCGAGGTGAGGCCTCACCAGTGCCAAGGGGCAGGATGACTTCCCTAGTCCTGCTCACCACACCATTCCTGATACAAGCCAGGATGCCATTGGCCTCCTTGGCCACCTAGGCACATGCAGCCAACTGTCCATCAGTGCAACAAGATCCCTTTCAATCAGGCAGCTTTCCAGCTGTTCCTCCCCAAGCCTGTAGGGTTGCCTGGGGTTGTTGTGACCAAAATACAGGACCCGACACTTGGTCCTATTGAAACTTATACAGTTAACCTTGGCCCATTGATCCAGTTTATCCAGGTCCCTCTGTAGTACCCTACTTTCCTCAGGCAGATCAACTCTCCCTCCCAACTTGGTGTTGTTTGCAAACTTACTGAGACTGCACTCAACACAGATATATCAATGAGCATTTCCATCAAATAATGCATATTTTCTTACTCTGTATCAATGTTCTGGAGATGTAATTGCTTGCATAATTTTTTATGTTATTAAAATGATATATTAAATATGTGATGTTACATAAACAATAGAGCTTTGAGAGGATCCCACAGAATAAAACAATCAGAACCTCGTTATCCCATGGAGGCTGCAAATACCAATCTTGCCTACAGGGAAATACAACATAACTCTGTGTGGAAGAAGCACTTGAGTGATTTTTCCGAAAACAAACACTTAAATGCAGACTCTCAGAAGCCAAAATATTGCTGACAGTGACCGTCTGCCTTGGAGGTTTTATATTTTCTCTTCCTCTGTACAGTTCCTTTTCCTCTGGTTGGCCACTTTGTGTTGACACCTCAAAGCTAAAAGCTGTTCGTTTCCCTCCCACTCCTCTATTTGCTTTTCTATCCCCACACGCTGGACATGCGAGGTAGAGCTGCCTTTGCACTTCAGAGATCAGCTCGATAGGAGGGCAGCGGAAATCAAACAAGCCTTCAAAGACACATGGGCGGTGAGGCACCCACAAAATGAGCACGCAGATCCAGAACGAGATGGGTGGCCAGCTCTGTCCCAGACAGCCCATCAACAGCCTAACCACAGGTCAGACCAACCCCAATGCTGCTCAAGCTCTCCTCTGGCATTTGCCACGAGGCCAGATATTTCTGCCTAAGGAATTTCCTCCACAGGGATTGCCTTTAAAGAGGGTGAGGGAAGTCAGCTGCCTAAAGAAAGTGCATACATATGTGATAGAATGTAAGACTTTGAAAACAAAGCAAAAAAGCTACCTGTATTCTTCTAGCTTGTTTCACCTCAGCCTCAACTTTCCTAGACATCGGAGAAAAATTGTTTGAAAGCTCATAAAAGTTTTTTTCCTATGTAAATGAGCTCAAGGGATTCTGCTTACTCAGTCCCTGCCCATTCCGTTGCCAGCAGATGTATGCAAAATATTCCTGGTTAAGACCAGCTTACTGAAGTCACTTTTTATTGTTCTTCACTTCATTTCACTAATATAAGACAGAACCTAGGTACTTTTGGCAAGAGGTGAGCCATATTATTTTTGTTATCAAAGCTATTCTACCCAAGCTAGAGACTTGCTTGAACAAAAATGACCATGAAAGAGAAAAAGAAGGGCCCTTTCCCCAAAGATCCAGTGGTCTAAGACAGTAGGCAATGTGCCCACATTCACTCAATACAAAATTTACTGTGATTTGTTTAATTCTTGATTTATGCAGGCACCCACAGGGCTGCTGGCTGGAGGCTCAGTGGGCAGATTAATGCACTCACATATATGCAACTTGGAGGTCCTCATGGCAGGGCTGGGCGTCTACCTGAGCTTTCACTTTTCAGCTATTGTCTAACGTCAGTAGTTTAAAGTGAATTCCAGCAAAAATCCAAAAGCCCTTGCTAGATGTACCTGGTCTCTTTTCCTTCTCTTTCAGCTTTCATGCCCACTTACAATTCTGTCTGTTAAACAGAAATGACTGGTTTTGTAATAAGGAAAAGTGTGATTTCCAGCTCTTGATCCAATTTCTTGTTAACAGAACTCTGAGTATAAAACACACGTAGGAACTTGGACAAGGTGTCGTTTTGAGGGACCAGCAGAGAAAATGTGCTTATAGCAAAGATTTTTGGAGGTTTGGTTTGAGGTATATGGGCAGGTTTCCTAGGGTGAGCTATCAGGAGGAAGAGAAGGAAACTGGTAAGTTAGCAGGGATTTTGTCTGTCATTGTGAGCATATGAGGGGAGAAGTGCCCCACACTTTTGTAATTAGCTTTCACTAAAATGTGCAGTAACGTCTTTGATTTATACTTGCCTGTAGTTTCCAATCAGCTAAGCTGTGTGCTATGCAGTTGTAAAGTATCTTTGATACTTACTAACTAGAACAAAGCAGGCATTAACTTTTTGTCAAAAAACAAAGTGAAATGCTGCATAATCTCCATGTTATGGTTCCTGTTCTCTCTAGTTTAATCTACAACACTGGGAATTTGTTATACAACAAGAAACACATTTTAAGAATTGTCACATTTTGTAATTCCTTTTTGTGTTTGGAGTGTCACAAGCATTGTGGCTCTGGTTCAAGCCAACTGCAGCCTGGAAAATGAAATATAATCTAAAAATACCATAAAAAATGGAAATTCTTAGCGTTAATCTCATGAAAGTCTTTTACATTCTGTAGTGAAGCTATCTGAACCTGAAGGAGACTGCCTGAA